ACAAACAAACGTGCTCACTACATACCAGATGTTTCATCCTTAGAATTTAATTCGATTATTTTGATAATCTTCATTAGACATGCGTGAAACCTATCAAAAAGACAATTGTACCATTCACTTACACTTTATAAGCAATAAAATTAATTAAACCATTGTTGTATTAACTTAACTATTAGGGCAGTTCCCTCAATGTGATTAGCTAGTGATCGGGATGTTCAAATCATTGCGATCAATTGAATGGTTAATGTGGTAAATCGAAGGATGACTTGCTAAATTTCATTGTGCGAAATGCGGATTTTGAATTTTAACCAATCAGAGCAACTTTATGAAAAAGATGGTCTGCACCTCCAGATTTTTTTCACCGAAGTGGTAACCTCCTTGGCTAATTTATTTAATTTCCGACTAATTAAAACTTTGCCTCCGATCCATTGAATGAGGTGCTTGAGAACATCCTTAATTTACTATTTAATGACTACGATTGTACAATCATGTGAGGTTGAAACTAACATAGTAACATTTGTTAATGTTAGATAACGATAAGCTTTATTTATTCCCTTCGGCGCCTTCCTGTCAGAAGATGTCACACAAAAGATTCACAATGCTAGATTTGTATGTGCGTACGTACGTACATGCCACACATCATTCAGCATAAAATATGATTGAATCAATATTCTGCTGTTATCATATGACAATAATATGCTGTTTGATTCACGACCTCGTTTTATTTCTTTCGTGACTATTATAATTGCATTTTTCATTGGCTTTTTTTTCTTGGCTCAACAACTCATTCAACAAGATGATCTTGTAAAAGCTGGTGATAATTGGTTAAAAGAAAATCTCGAGGCTTATTTACTAGATAATAAATTGGGTCATGGTAGTTGGACTAAAATCTTAAGTCATCAAGACTTCCCTGACTACCAAATTAGACTAAAAGAACCAAAATTATGTGATGCTTCTGTTCAACAGGTTCATATACTGTATTTAGGTGAATTTATTATTGCAAATTGTTGGTTTTTACTAAATTTTAAATCCATATATTATTTTAGTATTCTGGATATCTTGATATTAGTAAAAAGAAACACTTCTTCTTTTGGTTCTTTGAATCTAGAAATGATCCAAGCAACGATCCTATTGTTCTCTGGGTAAGTATCTGATATCGACGTTAATTATTCAATCCTATACATAGTAACTTAGTTATTACTATTGCTTTTCATAGCTAAATGGTGGTCCGGGGTAAGTGTGCTAGTTGAATCATTATTACTATTTTATTTCCGTACTTGTATCGATTGATCTCGATCATATTTTTAGTTGCTCTTCTTTAGCTGGCTTGTTTTTTGAACTTGGCCCTTGCTCAGTTAATGAAGATGGAGCTGATACTACTATCAATCCTTATTCATGGAATTCTAATGCTAGCATCATTTTCTTGGATCAAGTATTTTATTTTTATAGTCAATATGTAATCAATGTTTACAATGTAACAATTGATTTATATTATTAATATCCGCCTAGCCCACGAATGTTGGATACTCTTATGGTTCCAAAGTGAGTACGACCTTTGCGGCATCCATTGATGTGTACGCATTTCTACAAATCTTTTTCCAAGAGTATCCTCAATATGCACACTTGGACTTTCACATTGCCGGCGAATCGTAGGTATTTTTATCTTATTTAAAAATACTGTATGATCATTTATGATAATGCTATATTATTTGTAGATACGCAGGTCATTATGTTCCTTCCAAGGTCTAGTTTTTGCATCATTGAATCCTTGTT